TGAAGAAACTGTGCGTGGAAGAAGAGGTAGTATTTGAACTAACCACCTTTATATCAAGTAGAAACAGCCACATGTTTAATCCTTAAGGCTTTCTAGTAGTCCAAGTTCTTTAAGACCGGAGTTAACCGACCAGAAATATGCCCTTCCTCTGTTAGCTAGAGTGGAAATGTGTGTGGGAAGGATCTAGGAAAGCCAGTTAAATTCAGAATGTGTTTTTTTTCCCTAAAACAATTACAAAAAAAAACAAACAAATGCATTTAAGAAAGAGTATATAAAAGGAATAACAAAAAACCCATTACTCTACTCTTTATGATATAATTTTTATTTTATAATATATATTTCAATACATTTCTTATATATATATTTGTAACATAATTAATATATGTTACGAATAATATAGATTTAATTTATTTTATATATTTCTGATATAAATATTTAAGAAGTTTGTGTGTGTGTAAATAAAATACATAATGTATATGATTTATTATTTAAACTCTTATTAACATTATTTCAAAGTTATAGAAAGAAAGTATTATAAAAACATTGCAATAATTTCTTTATTTTTTTACCTTCTTTTTTCAGTTGTGTGTATATATATATGTATGTATGTATGTATGTGTGTGTGTATTTTTCCCTAAAACAATTACAAAAAACAAATGCATTTAAGAAAGACAATAAAAAATTACAAAAAACTCTTTTCATAAATTATTGCAATGTTTTTATGATTATATATGTATATATATAAATAAATATGGAAAAAGTTAATTTTGATGTGTTTCATCCGTTAGGACTTCATAATTTCGTATGACAATTTGCTCAATACTGTTCTGGGTATATAAAAATATATATCATTATCTCATATCAGATATAAATATAAATATTTAATTTATAATATATATATTTCTAATATATATATATATATATATATATTAATATTTTCTAATAGATATATAAATATATATTTCTGATATATATACATATATAAAAATATTTCTAATATATATATATATATAAAATATTTTTCTAATAGATATATAAATATATATTTCTGATATATATACATATATAAAATATTTCTAATAGATATATGTAAATATATTTCTAATAGATATATAAGTATATATTTCTGATATATATATATATATTTCTAATAGATATATATATATATATATATATATATATATATATATATATATATAAATATATTTCTAATATATATAAATATATTTCTAATATATATATATCTAAATATATTTCTAATATATATATATCTAAATATATTTCTAATATATATATATATAAATATATTTCTAATATATATATATATATATAAATATATTTCTAACATATATGTATATATATATAAATATATTTCTAATATATATATATATATATATATATATATATATATATATATATATCATAATGCATGTGTGTTTTTCTAATACATAAAAATATTTATTATTTAAACTCGTAATATTAACATTTCCCAGTTGTAGAAAGAACATATCAAAAAACATTCCAATAATTTCTTTACTTTTTTTGCTTCTTTTTTTTAATCAGTAAAATTTCTGGCTCTATTGTGATTTGAACCTAGTATCTAATATCCATTTTTAGTAGCTATCTCACTTGCTCGAACATGTCCAAAATCTAACCTAATTGTTTTTAGCTCACTGTAAGGTAATGATTAATGAGTTAGTCTAGTAGCCTATGACTACTATGCAATTAATTCAACTCTCACTGGATGTATCACGATTGTGGCCTTGTGCCAAACTAAGCTAAACTATCTTTAATATCATTAGTGGAACAATTATTTATTGCTATTAGAAATACTACTGCTACTGCACACATAAACAATTTTATCACAGGAGAAAGTAACCTTTCTGTATTTTCCAGTATTGTAAGAGGTCAGTTGTTTGAATAAAAGTCAAATTCTAGTTTTCTATCCAGGTAAGCCCACCTGGAACCTTGATACAGCCCAATCTTTCTACTCTATCTCTTTCTACTTGACCTTATGCCATACTAAGGTAAGCTTATATCAACAACACTTGCAGTAATTAATAAACAGGTGATGACTCAACTGAGATAATGATTTGCCTCATGGTTGAGGCACATGTGTGTGTGTGTATGAGTAACATAATAATTACTGACACAAAAAGTGAAACTGGTGAGATGAGTTTAAATTCTGACCTAGCCTGTTGCATTTATTTTCATACTAATGCTCTTTGAAAAGGCATGAATCAGTCTCTTTCTCCTCCAGTTTAGCTATAGGTTAAATAGTTTGGTAGACTAGGCTTGAATGCAAATTAGTCTAGAAGAACGACTATGAATTCAGAATTGGAAAGAAGACAACGGGAAATCACTCCAACGTCTTTCCAAGGTTTCATGACAATTCACAGATAATAAAGAAAAGGAAGATGTGAAGAGTCATGACCATCTTCGGTGTGAAGGGACATAGTGTTTATATTAAACTGAAAAGTAAACCCACTTTATTAACAAGATTTTATATAAGCATCTAAAGATCTAGTTAAACATGGGTGGCATTCAACACACTTGATTTCTTGATTAGATGTTATTTTATAGCAGGGCAGTTGTCTTTGTAACAGTATCAGTTTATTTTTGAGATACTAAATTATAAGTATTATTTTGTCTTTTTTTTTTATTGAAAAAAGATCAGTGCATCTCATTCTTACTTTCTCCATTTGATCTTTATACCATACTAGGCTTACAGTCATATGATGAAGCACAAGTTAATGATCACCAAAATTGAGCAACGATGAGTCTGGTCAATAACTAGATGGGTGACTACTTAGGAATACCAGATGCTGTAAGCTTGGATAAGTCGGTGGTATAATGGATAATGGCTTTGAATTGGAAACTGGAATGCCAAGTTGGGTTTGTTATATTTGCTTACATGCAAATATCCTTGGGAAAGTCATGAATCCACTTCTTTTCTTCCCAACTATAGATTAATTAGTAAGACTTGTATCAGTAAATCAGTATTATCCTCCCAAAATTTTTACAATCTAAAAATACTTTCTGGCTTTAAATAACCTACAAAAGGTTGATAAGCCATAAAAAAACACATCAATCAATATACCATACTAAGTTAAGCCAAGTAAGTATTAACTATTGCAGTGAATAATGATAAAATAGAACTGAGATAAGTTCATATTTCCTGCTGGATCTAGTGGTTAGTGTTCATGCTTAGATTCCAAATTCCAAATGCTGATTTTCAAGACAAGTAGGCCTTTCTCACTTTAATAATTAGTGTAACACAATCTCCCGATCTTTGTGTTGTTCAAAGTTAAACTTTGTAAATATAAAGAAAATCATGGACTTAGCTCCTTGGAAACTGTCTCTTTTTGAACAGCCAAACCCATGATCAAGCATCTATGCTTACTATATAATTCTTGTACTTGGTTATATTATCTGAAAATTAAAATTTCAATAAAAGTGAGTAAAATATTTGAAAATTATTCAAAGTAATTTTTTGATGAATGCATAAATTATAGCAAGGTGATCATATGATCAAATCCACTTTCTACCTGATGTTTGAAAATAATTTATAAAAAATAAAAACCTTACCTCATAATTAAACCTAAAATAGCCCAATTGTGCCAGTAATATTTGCATTAATTTCTAACTACCGACAATCACTTTCTTCCTGGTGTTCAATGTACAACATGCTGATTGAATGTTGAAATGTCAAACAAACTACACTTAAAATTTCTTAGTCATTTGAATTCCACTTTGAAATAAAGAAATGTTTTTTTTCTTCTAGTGATTCCCTTTCATTCATTGCCCCTTATATAATGTTCACAAGTTGCTTTGATTGGCTAACATAATAAAGTACACAATAATAGCATTTCACAATTATTAACAGTGGGCTTTTACAAACATTTTTGTGACAGAGCTGGAGAAAGGCATGTTCTGGATATGCTGATGAAGTTAATATTTTGTCTACCTTTTTGAAAGAATATCATTTAAATTGCCAGTTTTCTAAATTATTAAGATTGCATTCACTGTATATATATATATATATATATATATATATATATATATATATATATATATATATATATATATATATATATATTCAAGTAAAATGTTTTACAGGGATTTTTTTATTTTATGTACCTGCAAAATATGTAAATTGTTAGAATGAAAGGATGCAATGATTTATTTGTTTACTAAATATTACTGATAGCATGATTACAATTACAATTTCTTTTCATGTTTTTTTGTTTTAATTTTTTTTTAAATTTTGGCAAAGTTTAACCTTTGCACCCACAATAGTGTGTCAAAGGATGGTTCTTCCCTGGACACTGCTATTATTTTGTACTACTTTCACTTCCCCAGTAATGTTTATTGTTTTAAAAAGTGATAATTAGAATTTTAATAAAATCCAAACATGTGAAAATAAATTCATATATTTTCTTTGTTCTTTGATAATTTACAACAAAAATATTAAACATTATTTATTTATTAGATTGTTTATTTACAAGAATAATTTTATATTTACAACATTCAAAAAATGCAAACCATATTTATCATTTACCTATTTATAAAGAAATAAATATGAAAGTAATTTTTTTTATTCATAAATATATAAAAAAATTACTAAATTATAAAAATAGGAATTAACTTGTTTAATGAAATCTTTATTATTTACCATTTTAGAAAGTTTGAATCGATTGGCAATTCACTGATGTTTTGCCAACCATTCCAAAGAACACAATTCATTGAATATTTTGTAGGTTTTTATAAATTTTTGAATAAAAAGATTTATTTTCAAATTTATTTCTTTACAAAATGATAAATAACAAATACTGCATTGTACCTGTTTCACAAATTTTTATAATTTTGTAAAAAAACATTGCCATGGGAGTCTTGGTAGTTTAAAGAAATAGCAGTGTCAACAGAAAAACCATTTGACATGCCATTTTTTTGTGGGCATGAATATTAACATTGTCAAAATTTTAATAGAAATTCTCGGT